CCAACTAACAGGTTTGATCACTATTTCTATCCTCTGTGATGTCTCAGAGAGCAGAGATTGCTTATGTTAAGAGTCCGGGTGTTTTCATCAGTGCTATGGGTGAATTAGTTCATTGTGGATCTGCCCATGAGACCGAGCTTAGGGCCATTAAAATGGCCATGGCGCCATGCTTGAGGTGAACAGACGGGAGCTTCGAAATGCTAGTGATATTTCTGATGCAAAAGTTGTGGTTCAGCACCTCAGGAGGCAGAGATCTTTATTTGACCCCTCTTCTCCATCTTGGCAGATTTCAATTCCTTGACTCCTTTCACGTCGGAGACTCCTATCCATGGTTTACAAACCGTCATTGACCCAGATGATCAGACCATTCGACCCAAGAACTATTCAGGCAACCGGTTCTGTTTTACTCCAAACTCGGTTCCTGGCCAAAAACTATTGAATTGGTCAACGATCCATTGGCCTAGATAGTCAAACCATCGATCTGTTCAACAGTTTTTTGCCGCTTTTTATTTTTATTTATTTTTTATTTTTTAAATTTTATTATCAAGATGGGCCATCTACTCCAACCAAACGGTCAAACCATCAAAAACCAGTGGCTAGAATGATTCTATTTTCGGGTAATTTTATAAAACTCATATATCTGCTATTGGCGACGTCAATACATTGTTCTAGCTCACTCAATTGCATGTAAGACCCTCAAGTCTCTTTATCCTAACCCTGTAAATCATGGTTGGATAGCTCCTTTTTTTTTACAGCCACCTATGAGGCATTATTCCCCCCTTGATAGGGTTTTGTTTTGTATGCCTAGTGCAAGGTTTCTCCTCGTCGGTTATTACCAAAAAAAAATATTAACTTAAACTTATTAGTGGGATTCTAGCTACTACAATGTAAATTATAAGTTTGTGGTGTTATCTTTTAACAATAATTTAATATTTATATTATTAAAATGTCTTAATAAGATAAGGGTTAAATACTTAAAGTACCCCTATTATTTAGTAAATAGATAAAAACTTTTCCTACTATTGGAAAAATTATTTAAGGTACCATTAAGTTTTTTAACAATAAACATTATCGTTAAATATTAATGATAAAAAAGCAAAATATCAAATTTTCCTCCATTATATCTCAAACTTTCAAAATAAAATCCAATATAAAAGATGCAAATCGAAGAACATTTTTTCTTAGATTTCTTAAATACTCATTACACAAAAACAAATTTGGAAGATAACCCATATATAAAATATCTATTCGAACACCACCCGAGAGAATCAAAAGTTGCAGAAGTAAAAATGAAGAGGCCTACAAAGGAAGGCTTTGGTTTCAATCCACGAGTTGCTCTTCATCAAGGGATCCAATCTTTTTCTTTTAACCTAGAAGTTCAATCAGTGTAGACCTATTCATGGGCCCAGTAGCCAGACGGGCTGGCCTGGTCCAGCCTGTCCTAAGTCAGGCTTGGACAATTTTAAGCCCGTGAGCTCGGTCTCGGGCTTTGGAAATTAGGCCCGACTACTTTTCAGGCTGGGCTCATGCTTTCCCAAATGAACTCAGCCCGATCTTGAGCCCGAGCCCATCCTGGTAATATAATAGAAATACGGCATGTCTTAATAATATATAATATATATTATATAATAATAAAATTAATAGCAAAAATGTATTATATATTATATTTATAATATATTAGTATATTATAAAATTCATGTCAAAGTTGGACTTCAGGCTTTATATAGGACTGGACTCAGGCTCAAGATCTAGGCCCACAGTCTGGCCAGGCTCGGGCTCGGGCCTGGTGATGTCCAACTAACGACTATTTAATTAATTAAATCTCCATCTTCTTTTCATGTTTCTTTCAAAATTTCTAACGCATTTGGACATTTGAAATATACCAAAAGAACACATTTGAACGTTTGAGAGATTATTTTAACAAAACAACAACCCAAATTCCAAAAGTGCTTCTGTATACAAAAGTCTCTTCAAACCAACAACCCAACCTGTGTTCTCTTTTGTGAAACCGCCTTCTGAAATTAACAATGGCTGTGGTGGTAGAAAGTTCGTAATCATTTCTATAAACTTTTTTAGCGTAATTTATTGGTCCTTCCGTCCTATTTTTATAGGATTTGCAATTCTAGGCTAACGAAGACATTCTATTTTTAGGCTGAACGCTCAAGCTTGTCGTTGGCAACATTATCTTCTCAATTTATCTAAGGTTCATCTATGGCAACATTGCCGTTGGATTTTATTTGAAAATTTAAAGAACAATGAAGGAAAAATCAATTACAAAATAGTTTTGAAATTAAGAAAAATTATACAAGTAATGTGACATCACATGTGAACAGATTGTAAAAACTTAAACACTTAAACAGTAATTTTTCAAAAGTTTTTGTCCATTTACTAAACCATAGGGGTACTTGAACTCTTGAAGTATTTAACATTGTTTAGAAAATCGGAATAGACCAGCCAATCAAACTTGTTAAACCATGACTCAGAACCTTAGCCAATTTAATCTTACCCCAATAATTGCTTTTGCTAAAAACCAGCTGACTGGTCAGTTTAACTGGAAAACTGGTAAACCAATCCAAGTTTCTTGAAACTGCCTAGGTCTCTAATCAATTACAATTTTAAAATGTAATTAACAAAGGCCACGTTTGGCAAGTCTTTCCATGCAGGCTTCGGGCCGTTTGGAAGCTCGGAAGCCTGAATTCTGGGCTTTTCCCGTTTGGCAATAGAAAGATATATTGGGAAAAAGTGCCAACCCATAAAAGATGCCAACAGCCCAAATTTGGGCTTTTTTAAAAAGCTTCAAATGAAGCTTTTACGATCTTTTAGCTCCCGCCGTCTTCTACAAACGTGTGGCACGATGCACACGCTTGGGAGAAAATGGGTATCTTTTCACAAAAAAAAAAACTATTTGAATGTGTAAGTGGGACCTACTAATGGTATGTGGGGCCCACCTTGGAAAATGCATGTTGGGCTCACATTAGGTATTATGCGGGCCCCGCCTTGAAAAGTGTATGTGGAGCCCATATACATGTCCACTAATGGCACATTAGGCCCACCTTGTAAAATGTATATGGGCCCCATGAACATGTACACACATGGACCCCACATACATGTTCACCAATGGTATGTGGGGCCAAGGTTCAAAATATCGATACACCGGATACGCCAGTATGGGCGTATCGGGCGAATCGATACTCCTTTTGGTGGTTTTTTTCTTTTTTGCCAACTGATTCAAGGGAGCCAGTTTAGGTCTTCGCCACACCCTGAACTAGTCAGACCACCGATACGTGTATCGATGGGGTGCCAGAACGATATGCATCGGTCGATACTTTGAACCTTGTGTGGGGCCCACCTCAAAAAATGTATGTAGGCCCTACAAACATGTCCACACATGGACCCCACATGCATGCCCACCAATGGTATGTCGGGCCCACCTTGTAAAATGCATGTGGGCCACACATACATGTCCACCAATGGTATGTGGGGTCCACCTTAGAAAATTTATATGGGTCCCATGTGTTAAATGAAAGGTTCATTGGCCCACACACAAGGCATTCATATTTACATAACACATTTTCATCACATTACCAAACGGTCTTCTAATTTTCATGGTCTTTCATGAAATCTATAAAAAATATTTCAATCAAACGGTCTTTGGTCTTCCAAGATCTATTTGCAAAAACTTACCGTCTTTTAATTATCAAATCTTGTAACAGATCTTTTAGAAAAGACTTGCCAAACAGGCACAAAATTTGAACCCATGACCTCTTGTTATCATATAATACTTAATTACCATTATTCACTTATTGTGTTACTAATTATTCTTTATTCTACATATTACTTTATTAAAAATATGTAAATAAGAGACTTGAACAGTTTTGAACCGTAGTTATTTGCTATGAAATAACAAATGGAACTTGTCATTATCCAGTTCGACCTCGATTGAATCTCTGCTCCGTAAACCTCTCTTATCCCATTCTATTCCCGGTCGAATTCTCTAAACATTGATAATTATCTATTTTGATTCAATTTTAGCATTTACATATAAAATCTTGACCCAAATCAAAATTTTGACCAATCAACTGGTATTATAAACGTGATAATCAGGAGTTATTTATCAAAATTCTTGGATGAGTTTTGATTGGTCAAAACTCTTCGCATACCATGTTTTTCGTGCATCATTGATTTTCCACCAATTAAAAATTGCATATATAAAAAATAAATAAAAAAATAAAAAATAAAAAATAATAATAATAATAATCTTAGGTTTGTCTTGACCAACCCAATAAGAACCGAAGTCGTCACTTCGCTCAAATTCACCTGTAACGTATGAACTTCCTAGCGAAGATGCACAAGTCAAAAATAAACAAAAAAATAAAAAATAAAAAATAATAATAATAATAATCTTAGGTTTGTCTTGACCAACCCAATAAGAACCGAAGTCGTCACTTCGCTCAAATTCACCTGTAACGTATGAACTTCCTAGCGAAGATGCACAAGTCAATTTCTAATCCCCGAGATCTGGAGATATCTATGTCAAGTTATTGGGTCAAGGTTTCATAACAGCAAAGCCATCTAATGAGGCATTAATCGCATTATTTCTACCATTATATGTGAATCAGAAGATTAATACAATTGAAGGTACGGTTCCGAGAATTGCACGTTCGGCTTAGTTTGGAAGGAATACAAATGCAAACATGTAGGGTGCAAAACCTTACATTTTATACTAATTTTTATGTATTTGCACCGTACATATTTGTATTTGTACTCTTTCCAAACTGAGCCTTCAGATCTAATTTCTCATGGTCAATCCTAACCATACTCTTGCATTGTCATGCTGCAACAATCAAAGGACCACGAACTTGGCTGAGAAAGCCTGATGGTGACCAGAAAACTCACAGTAAATTGCTTTCATTTCGCAGCAGGACAGTCCCGAAACCTCCACAAATCAAACGCAGGCCCTGAAGCTTAATCCATTTGCAGAGAGCAAGAGACCATGCAGATTCTATCTCAAGGGTTTACTTTTGATCTTTACATTGTCCAAGATGCCATGTCACAGTGAAATATGGTAGAAACAGAAATCAAGCATATTATGAACCACTCAACCACATAGAGAGATCAGTGCCTAAATTGTTTTTTAGAAAATATTTCAACAGTTGCTCAGTAACATAATCAATCTCACAACTGCTTTGTTGCTTAAATAGAGGAAAAGGCTTCACTTGGCAATGACAGCATGGCCAAAGTTTCTCTTCATTACCAAGCAGACGTCTAGGAAAGGGCAACCAAATCACAGCATTCCTCCAGGCTCCATCTTCCACTTTATGTCACGAATGGGTGGTTGTGGAAGTACTTTAGTTCAACATCACAGTAAAATACCTTATTAAACAATGTTAACATGAATAAATCTTTTCAGAGAAATTATTGGCATGCGGCATCTCAACAAAAAAGGATAATGCTGCTAATTGTAATACGATCTTACACAAACGAACCAAGTAATGAGTAAGCATGAACATCATAAACCATATGGCCTTGATCAACATTTCTGTCCAGCAGTTGTAAAAACGGCCCAATGTAAAAATGGTAGCAACTTCCAACTGGTACACATGCTATCAAGTTCTGGTTCTCATACCCAAAATACTGTTTATTTTGCCACATAGCTCTTGGGATCTTGTTTTAAGTGAACACTCATCATCCCCTATTTTCCTGCCCTAGTCCCATAGCAATTTAGTCTATCAATATGCATGAATTGGAATAGTGCAACCAAGAAATTCCTAAGATACTGCTGCTGCTCTGAACAAAGGGAATAAAATTCATTTGAGAACGTATTCAGTCAGTGACAAATTTTCTAGAAAAAATAAGCCTGGTATTATGACGAAACCATGACTTCTGTTCATTGTCAAGGAAACCCTTACCAGCAATCAGTTGTGTGGTCCACACAAGTAAAAACTGAACCATCAATTAGAAACACGTGTCGCAATGGTTAAACTGCTTGTAAATGCACCTTCTCGTGACATCCATTTGAGGTCCTGGGAAAACTTAATCTCCATTAATCAGTGTCACAATGCCATCCTGAAATACATGCACATGTACCAAAAATAAATAATACCATGACTAATAACAACTAACAACTAACCTTACAGTAAAAGGCCACGTCTCCCTCCCCAACAGGAATGCCACATCAAGAAAGACCATGACTTGAAGCATCAAAAATAACATAAAAGCCAAAGCTTTCATATCAAGGCAGAAAAGTCAGAAATAAACAATGTCAAAAGGGCATTAGAGCAATACAGTGCGTTCTCTCACAATAAGTTTAAGAATCTCAATAATCTATCATGCTTACTACGAACACAAACAATGACCATGGTGATCCAAAGTTCACAATATTTTAGCAGAAAAAGAAAAACGATAACAATGGAGAACAATAAAAATCCAGCTTCCAAATGAACCAATGTCAATAAACCTTGAAAAAAATAGCCACGTCGTGAATGTGATAGGTTAACCTAAATGGCATAACATCGGAAAATAATTTCAGACACTATGTATATCTTTAAAAAGACTTACAAGAGTGCTGTGCAGAAACTAACAGTAGAAATATCAGCTATCTGAACCTTGTAAGGTATTTCATGCAAATGCGTTGACTAAATCAAGAAATATATACACTAACTTTACAGAGTATGCAACATAAGGATACCTTCTAATTCCTCATATACAGTTACAGGGAAGAAGCATAGCTTCCATGTTATCCTTCCACCAGGGAGACAAGCAGCCAGATAAAGCAACTGAAGCTTGTCAGCATACATGTAATTGAGACCAACTCTCACCCTCTGTACAGTTTCCCCGGGATAAATATACAACAATGATGTCAAAACTTTGCTCTCTGAACCCAAGCAGCAATTCCTATTTAAGGATGCACTTGGCCAAAACCCTATCCCATTGGATCATTATCCTTTTTCCACTCAAATTTCGCAATTAAATGTATGTGAACCTCCGAGCAGAGTAGCCAGGATAAAAGGTCGTTGGCCATGAGAAAGGCAATCAAAACCCACATAAGTCAATATCAAGCCCTACCCATCACGTTCCAATGGTTCATGAGAAGCCGTGTCACGGGCAACTAGCTTCTCTTTTGATAGGCAGTCAAGAGGAACATAAGCAAAACCTTTAGGTAACCGCTGATTCTGCACGGATGCTTGGTCTGATGTCATTACCAGCTCTTTTTGAAAAGTCTCAGTGTGCTGCATCGATCACAGTAGTGAGGATCATCATTTTTAAGTGGAAAGAAAAGAGAACAAAAACAAAGCAAAAACAGACCATGTCACTGCACCTTTCTTGACTTGGATTTCCTTTCCCCTTCATCCGTGGAGTTTCGTGAGGCAACAGGTGCAGGTCTATGAGGAAGTTGCTTCCCGGAAAAGGCCATCCTCTCGGTTGGTCTTCGTGTGCCTATGTGTTGAGATGTTGAGCTATCATCAATTTTCTGCTCAAAATCCATGGGAACAGGAACCATAACTCGTCGTTTACCAGAGGTCATGCCATCAAAGGTGGCGTTCTCTGGTTTATGGATAGTTTCACTGCAGGATTTATGGTCATCCACACACTTGAGGTTGGTAGAAGCCGATTCTGAACTAACATCAAGTTGAAAGAAAGGACTGTGAACGAGCACAGAAAAAGCAACAGCATCTCTTTTTGAAGCAAGTATATCATGTGAGCAAAGAACCAATTCTCGCTGGATAGAGAAGAAAAGAAAGATGGTAAAGGAATGATACAACAAACTGAAAATTCCAGAAAGAAAAAATATATAAATGACTAGTTTACAATTCTAGATGATACAAATCTGAGCTACCATAACTCCACCTGCATTTGGTGTGGCCTCTTATAAGAGCTTCTAGCGCTTTTCACATTTTAGAAGCCAAAAGCATCCCATTTTTCCATTTGGTAAAAAATCCACAAATGGGTTTTTTCATATAAAAGCCCGTTTGAAAAAGCACCTGAGGCCCGACTTTTCGCTTCATGCATTTTCGAGAAGCACTTTTCCAAAAATTTAACACTCAAAATGCCCATTTAATAATTTCATAATCCCAGGAATAGCCATGGCTAAGAGAAAACGCTGGCTGACCTATCTTCTTCCCATTTCCCTTCAATCTCCCATTCTCCCAACTTGCAGTGGTGGCAAGGCAAAGAACAGATATGCATATTCCATTTTTTCCGTTTTTTCGTTATATTATTTAAATAAATGAAATTTCAACAACCCATTTGATGAGTTTGCCATCTTCTTCTTCCTATTTCTTACCACCATGAAAACAATAATTACCCTAACAAGTTGCAACGATTTTGCGACTATAACAGGTAAGAACCATCCTTTTTTGTTTTCTTTTCATTTCATATGATGATTTTTTTTTCAAAACCCCCACCCAACCTAGCAGCACAAAACAAGCTTGTGATTCAACATTAATCTATGGAAAATTGTTCAAAAATTGTTGTAGTCAGTTTTTTATCCTAGTGACAACAGAAATTTTCTATGTAAAATTTATATAGCATTATTCTAGTGACAACATTGTTCAATCCTACTCTAGTAATAGTGTGTTGAACTTCATTCATATGGAAATTTACTTCTTTTATGATAACAACCTCCCTTATATACACCATGTTTATATTGAGTTTTTGTTAACAGAATTTAGAAAATAGGACATGATTATAGGTTGGATATTGGAGTTTCGGCTCAAATAGAAAATATGCCACATGCAAACCATATGGCAAGTTGGCAACATTCATGGAGTTGTAAGTTCATTTAGAAGCCAAGAAATGTTGGCAGGCTTAAAGAAGTGCTTATGTCGTTTTTTTTAAGTTTATACGTGATAGAGAGTACAATCATCTTTATAGTGACAGAAGCCCGTTTTGAACCAAGCAATATTGTTAGAAAAACACTTTTTAAAAGAAAAAATCCACCCAAAAAAGCACCTCACCAAGCGCTCAATAAGTGATTTTTCAAGAAGCCTGTTTAGAGGGGAAAAGTCCTGCTAAACGCACCCTTAACCATCAGAATTAATGAGAGGGTAACCATGCCAAAATGAAGTAAAATCTGCAAATTCCTGCTAAACGCAGCCTCAAGCGAGGGCACTCTCAATTAATCAATATCTAAAATATACAACTAATGCAAGTACCTTACACATTGTTTGGTTCTTTTTAGGATACCAGATAACAAAGAGGCAAAATAATTTCAAGAGACAAAATCATAAACACTAATGCAATCTCCTGCCAAGGTGCCAGGAGATTTAGATGCATGAGCATAAACCTCATGAGTGCCAACATTTAAGAAAAACATGAAACTACAAAAGCTAAGTATAGAAATATGCTTACGAGTGTTTTTGTATAGAAAGATAATACAAATAGATAAATAAATCACATAAACAAGAACTAAGTATGTTATTGAAAAAAAAAGGACTACGTATATCGAGAATTTCTGATAAAGTCATGGAATTCTTACCAAACAGTTTGAGTAATAAAAGGTTCTAAGTGTTAATAATTCCTAAAATGGTTTCAAATATGCTGAAGCACAGATACAAACACATGAATACATGTGTACACGTACAAAGAAATACTAACAGACATAAGGTTACCCAAGGTGGGTGGAATGGGCTTTGTGCTTTTCAGGCAAGAGCATCAAGATTGAGACTTAATGTGCCTTCAGCCACACCTCAAGGTTAACCTCACTAAGGTTCTAATATCGGTGGGTGCTTTACTTCTTTTTAGTTTTTTTCCTGAAACAAGTCAAACCCCAAAACAGTGACTGTAGGAGCATATTGGAGGGTCACTGATACGATACGTATTGGCCGATACATTGTGAAATTTTAGCCCTTGAGCCCTACAGCCTCTTAAATTATCATGGACTGTCTTCATTGAAGCAATTTCTATGAGCATTGCCTCAAGGAGTAAACATTTATCGCAAAACCTTCCATGGGTCTGTTTAGTGTTAGGTCATCTAGTAAAGAAGGGATAGGCAACTTAAATATTAAAATATTGAAACTATGATATTTATGCAGACCATAATTAATCAAAACAATATTAAAATAGACTGGAAGATTGCACATGCAGCTAATCAACAAGGTCCCCTATGTAGTAGACTTTCAGATTATCCACATTATCATCTGCATTGCAGAAACTTGGTCGTGTAGGGAGGAATTCACCTGACCCAACTAAACATTTTTCTTATGCATATAAAAAAAGGATTATAGCAACTAGAGGCAAATTTCATCTATATAAATCTGCATGTATTACCTTCAACTTTTCCCGTTTGACAATTCTCTCGCAAAGTAGGCGTAACCTTTCCAGTTCAACCTGTGATTTCCATGAAAGGATGTAATTAGTTAATTCATTTTCTTTGATATTTCTGCTTTAAAAACAAGCTTCAATAGGATAAAATTCATGAGCATCATGTATTTTTCAGGATAGGAAACCAGATGAAATGATCGCTCAAAGAGTAGGAGGTTACAGTAAACAACATCCGGAAATGACACATTTAATAGACATCAACAAACAACTTGCTGAAAATGACGACTATATATTTAATAGCAATTCTGAATTTTTCTATCAAGCAACAGTAATCAAAAGTTATATGAATGCTGAAATAGGTAAAAATATGGTAACAATCCAAAATAAAAAGTAACGAATGAAGGATCAATAAAACCAGGCTGGCATACATAACTAAATCAAAATACATCAGTCTTTCATTTTAGGTTATATGTAGAGAAAATGATATACTTTATTAAAACAAAGCCCTCAGACTAGAGAACTTCTCCCTCAGACAAGTGGCATATTATTGTCTCAATAAAGAGCATCTCAAAAGTGGTTATTCTTTCCTCGGACATGTGTCTACTGACTTAAATGGTAGTTACCTCCATTCTGAAAAAAAGTAGTGGTAGTTACCTCCACTAAAAAGACAAAAAAAATAAAAAACTCATTTCAAATGACGTAGGATCCATAAAGTGGAGTATTATTTAGAAATAAAAATTGATGTAATCACTTAAGTTAAATAAAAAATCCATACATAAAAAATCAAATAAAATAAAAACATAAATTTACAACATAGAAAATGGGCATCAAACAAAAGTTATTAGAATACATATCAAAAAAATATCGGAATACTGGCCCCATAATTACTACGGGGATCATAGTGAAAGATAAGTAACAGCAGAATATTCAAATGACAAGGGAAAGGCTAGGCTGTTTGGAAAAAAGAGCCTGCACTGGTTGGGGGCTTCCTGCACATAGAACATTACTCAATTCAGAAACTTGTTTGTCTTTTTAATTAAAATAATATTGATCCCAAATGCTCTTTTCCCCACACCCAAGCTAATGTGCCATGCACATGAAGATTCAAAACAGCTCAGGCTCTTTTTCCCAAACAGCCAAGCTTTTCTCTCAAGGACAAGTAAATACCCATCTATAGAATATGCAGGGAGACGGGGATACATGTCCGTAACAGCTTTCAACTATGCATTAATGCTGAAAGATTTCAAGGATATGAAAAGGATTGACACTAAATGACAATGTGATAAGATGGTGGAATATTGAATGTTATCTTTAGGCTCAGTTTGGGAAGAGTGAAAATACAAGGTTTAGAAGAAGCATATACAAGGTTTTGCACTGTACATATCTGTATTTGCACTCTTCCCAAACTGAGCCTTAACCTTATTGTTTAGAGGGGATTTAAGACGTAATTAATGTAGTCCTTCTCTGAGATGTATATGTCTCTTTGGATCCATGATCTCCATCAGTGGATCCTTTTCCAACATGGGTGTGATCTTTATTTTTATCTTTCATTGATATATAGCAACAATTAAAAAAAAAAAAACTTAACTCCACTTGTTTTTGCACTTCAACTTCTAGATCTTTTGACATCCACATTCCATTTATTAAATTACTCAAAACAAGAAAACCCAAATTATTATATAATGTGGCATAGATAATAGCACCAACCATCCAATAGTTGAAGAAATATACATTATCCTCGGTGCTAATTACCATGGACAGTGGCATAATCAGGCATTTGGAACTAGTCATTTGTACTACTTCCATCTTTGTGCATAGTTGCCCTTTATACTGCCAGTTCATTTTTTATGTTTGTTTTTTCTTATATTCCTATATTGGTATTCTGCCCAACTCAGGCTCTTCTTTGAGGGAGAGCTTCATCCTAACAAAGAAAGAGTGGGAGAGAGGAAAAAGAGGGAAAGTCTTCTTTCATTTCTTGACAAGGTATGGATTTACATTTCTTTCTTATACTCTTTAAAGTTTGATCATAGTTGCAACTGATTACAACAGGTTCTTACAACTTCGTCATTTGCATCCTCAATTAGTTTGAACCACCATTTCAGAATTCTTTTCTGCTACTGGCGATTGCTGACATGGCCTTTTCATTCTCTTCCTAAAGTAGGTAAGCACCACAAGTTTAGCATGGCCATATTTAGAAAGACAGTCCACTACCACCAAAAACAACCCTCTTCCACTTAGAAGATGGAAGGCCTGTGATAAAGCCCATTGAGACTACATCCCAAATTTGCTTTGGGATTTTCAGCAGCTGCAACAATCCACTCGGAGCCTGAGACTTGTGCTGTTCGCAAATGGGACATGCCATCACAAAGTCTCAAACAGTACATCGCATCCCAACACAGTAACAATGGACTGAGATGACTGTAATCCATTGATAAGTTTTGAATATACCCGAGTAGCCTCCGGTAGGGGAACTGTCGAAAAGCGTTTGTTGGTTTGCAATATGGGTTGAACGGACTGGAAGAACAAGTTGGTTCTAGTAGAAAAGAACCGAATCAATGACTGTATACCCTAGGGTTGAAATGGACCACAGGCCCATTTAGCTTGGATCTGAACAAGTAATGGGTTGTCTTGGGCTTCACATTTGACACCATATCCAACAGTGGATAGCTAGGCTTGGTGTTACTAGGTTGACCCAACTTGTGAAGGAAGAAAGAGCATCTGCTACTTTATTAGTAGCCCCAGTTTGTATTCCATATCATTAATCAACCCAAAAACTTATAAGCCTAGTGTTGCTGATCCTAAATGTGAAAGTTCTGCTCCAGGAGATATATCAATCTTTTTAGACCCATTCAAACACCGAACTGGCGCCCCAACAAGTAGGCATGCCACTTTTGTACCACCATCAGCTCTTTCTCCTAACCTGACTTGGCTTGGGCTTGAGAGGACAACTGCTTGCTAAAATAGGCAAGAGGTTAGCCATCTTGCATTAACACCACAACCAAGCCACCCTGAGAACTGAGAAGCATCACATTCAAGGACAAAAGGCTTGGAGAAGTCCAGGAGGGCTAAAGTGGTTGGTGTGGAGCAGTTTTCTTTAGTGCATCAAAGGCCCATTGAGCATGACAATCCCATAGGAAGGTGTCCTTACGCAGAAGCTAAGAAGCGTGGCCAGCATACCATAGCCAGATATAAAGCCCCTGCAATAGCCTGTGAGGCCCAAGAAACATCTAAGGCTTTTGACTGTCATGGGCTTAAGCCATTTTTGTATGCTGTCAACTTTTTTGGGGTCTGCCAACTCACCATGCAACCGCAACATGGTCCAAATACTGAACCTAAGGTTGTCCAAAACCGCATTACAAAGCCTTGGCATACAACTAATTTTGCCATAGAAGGTCAAAGGCAATCAAAAGATAGTGCAAATGGGATTGCTAATCAACACTACAGACAAATATGTCACAAAAAAAAAACTAATATAAAATGACACAAGTGAGGGCGGAATGCCTCATGTGAACAGAACGCCATCTTATGGACATCCTCAAAATGCAGCACCCTAGTCTGGAGGTAACCCAATCATAGATCAGGCTTTGAGAACACTCCAACTGCTTGTAGATCATCCAACAATTCATCTATTAGCAAAATGGGAAAGTGATCATCCAACATCCTCAAAATGCAGCACCCTATGATCCAGGGGCCACAGGGGAGGTAGCACATCCAATTCTTCGAAACATCAGAATAGGTGGAGAGTAATTTCTATAGTTCCTGATGGACCTCGGGTGGAAGAGCCTCTTCTCTACTTAATGTCAACATTGGACTAGTGAGCTTCATGCCCAAGCATATCGAGGGTTGCCTGTCCACTAATCCACTTGACAACTTCAAAGAACTGATCTGAGGTCATCCACTTGCAGCAAGAACACAGAGATGCCATCCAGATTATAGGACACCCCATCCACTATGTAAGTGTGAACTCCATAGTCATTTTGAACCAATCACAAAGGACTCGTCCTAATTGCTTTAACCACCAAACACCTAAGACAACACCAGTGTTGCCTAAGTCAAGTGGGTACAAATTAGCTGAGAAAACATGACTCTGTATTACCAGTGACAACCCCTTGCAAATCCCTTCAAACCATATCAGATTACCATCAGCCAGGTGCACGACAAATGGTTCCATCTTCTGCACAACTAACCCCAACTGTTTGGATAGCATTTCGGTGATGAAGTTCAGTACTCCCGCTATAAATCAAAGTTAATATGGTGTGGCCCAATAAAGAGCCCACAACCCTCATGGTTGGCGGTGAGGATGGCACAATGGAAGTGTAAATTGAAATTTCTGGTTCATCCAACCCATTATAGTCTCCCCCACTGATCTCAAACGATTGATCTAAGTTTCCACTCTATAAATCATCAACTTACAATAGGAACATTTGTTGGACCCATCACTTGTGACCCCACCCAATTTTTTTTCTCACAATTGTAGTAAAAATCACAGTCTGCAAGCTTGCATTTCAACCCGACAATTTTCTTATAGGCACCGCAACAAGGCTAAGGCTGATGATTTAAATTGTGGGCCTAGGGTTTTCATGTATGAGGTATTCTTTAACAGAGGCAGCCCAGACTGTGTTGGACCTAGCAGGGTTGGTTGGTTCAGGCCACCTAGTCTTATAGGTGACCCGAACTACATGAAGCCAAGGAAGGGTCAAGTCATTTTCTTGAGTCAAGCTAGCCTCTCCTCCTAGTCTAGCAAGGCCAAGAAACAAGCACCAATGTCGGCTGGAGAGCCTTAACTTCCACCCAAATTTCTTCTTTCAGGCCTCCCATGAAGCATCCCAGGAGAGCCTTCTCAGGCCACCTATGCACCTTCGTCAATAGCTTTTTTTAAATTCGACCTGAATGTCACTTACCCTCCCTGCCTGTCAAAGCTTGGAAAAAGGTTAATTATAATCATCAAGCCTTATAGTGCCAAATGTCGAAAACAGGGCTTTGGTGAAATCTACCCAAGAAACCTGAGTATAGGAGCAGTAGAACCATTGGGAACTATAGAATAACCTCTCCTTCGAGGTGAAACAAGGCTATGGGAATTCTCTCATTATTGTGGGGTTTCATGGTTTTCAAATACTATTCGGCCTAAAAAATCTAATGTATAGGGTCATCACTTGAGTAGTTTGGAAAATCTAGCCTGGCAATCCCACCCACAGCCCTACTTCCTTGTCTGGTTCCTTCTTGCTCACAACTGGTCCTTTACTGGTCGTCTTCTTGGTTGCCACCAATGGAGATCTCCAATTGTGTCACCATCACCACCATCATCTGATTTCATGCAGGTTGTCAGTCACCTTGTGCAAATGGATCTCCATCCAATCAATTTGGTCTTCTTTGGTTTTTGATCTGGTATTGGAATTCTTGATCTTCTCAAAATGTCACCAAAGCTATACTACCAAATGTTTGGATTCTGCCCAACCCAGGCTCTTCTTCGAGGGAGAATTTCCTCCTTACAGAGAAAGAGAGAGGGGGGGAGAGGAAAAAGAGGTAAAGGTAAAGACATTTCATTTCTCCACAAGGTATGGATTTGCATTCCTTTCTTATACTCTTCAATCATACTTGCAACCAAGGTTTTAAAACGTGGAGGCGTGACACGAGGTGTTCCACTACCTAGAGGCATGAGGCGTAGTTCAGAACGTAAGAGGCGTAAGTCTCCTTAAGAGGGGGAGGAGGAAGAAGATGAAGGGGGGATCTTTATTTTAAATAAAAATCTTTTATATTAAGAAGAATAAAGATGCATAACACTAGTTGAAAGGGGGG